ATGGATATATTTGCGAAACTATGGGTAAATTATAGTAAACCCGCCTACTTACTTTTTTCTCTCTGGCGTCTGAATTTTTTTGAAAGGAATTTCAAATTGAAAAACTTGATTATTTCAAAAAATTTTTTTAAAAATTCAGTGCAATGTAGAATAATAATAAGGGTACAGCTTCGCAAATTTTACCTTTACCGAAACCAAAGATGTATGCACATCAAAAAATCCTCTTAAACCAATGAATTCTAATAGTTAACTTAACTTAAACTTAAGTAAAAAAATAAAAGAAAAAATATATAAAAATTTTATTTAATTAAAAACATATTTTCCTTATTAATTCCTAATTATTCGAACATCGGAAACGATAATCAAAAGAGTTTTTCACCATGAAAGTTGTAAAGGGAGACTTTTTTTGCAAGACTTTCGTGTCGGAATAAACCATATCTTTCAGAATATCTTGTCTACTGTCTTTTAGTTGTCTTACAAAAGACTTTCCGCTTTCTTAGCGAGAATTTCCCTGATAATATTATCTTTAACCCTATAGCACACATCCGGGAAGCCACACGAACACTTCCGACTTTGATCTACTCTAGTTTCCAAACCGGTAACCGGTTGCCACACTGTTTGATCGATTTACTGCACCTTCTTCCTATATTCCTGGCATCCAAAGGTCTTCAGGCACTCGGTGAGAAAAGGTTACCGTCTGATGTCTGTGTATGGCATCATTTCATTGTGCATGTGGTAGACGGTGTATGATGCCAATGCTGTGAGATCGATCATATTGAAAAAATAATAATAATCGTTAGAGGCCAACACTTTGTCTGGCACTGCGTGCACATTCGCCGAACAGCGCTCTCATCACGTCAATGCCACGCTTCGTCCTACAATAAAATTGTAATATTTCTGATTTGCCAGCGTTACGAATTCCGCCATCTTCGTGCAGCGTTGTAGTTTTAAGTTTTCATAGGCACATAGGAAGGAAGGATGACTTTTTTGCGGAAACCAAACGCTGTGGAACCAATTGCCCTATTTTGGTGTGCCCTCATTTCATTTGATAGGTATGACGTATTTTTTCTCAGCGTGTCCACGGTGATCAATCCCCAATCAAATTATCAATCATCAAATGTGATGCTATGGCAATTTTTTCGAAAGTTATTTGCTAGGCTTTTCACAATGCTTTCCCGTCGCCTCGTTTCTCTTCCGAACTCCGCTTAGACAATATATATTTGTCCATGAAGTTGAAAAGAGTTTTTGGGATCGCATATCCACCAAACTTTGATACCATATTTTCCGGACTTAGACGGAATATAAGTATTGGGCGAAGCGCGTCCATCTACGATGTGTAAAAACCGTTGATCAGTTGTTAGATGCCTCCTTGACCGCGATTGGTGCCGTTTGTGTTTACATACCATATAAAGCGCAAAATTGAGCAAAACCGGTTAAGTCCCATTACTATGCGGTATAGCGGATAGTCTTGTGGGCTCAATAAGTCGCCAACGCCTCGATTATTGCTCTGGTTCGCTCCCGTAATTATATTATAAATGTTTAGAGCTCTTCCTTCCATGCGGTTGGTTCAAAATGCCTGTCGTTAAAAGCTTTATACATATGTGGCTTCGGCTTTTTTTTTTATTAATGTGGCGCAAAATGATGTCCACCAGTTCCAAGCTCCAACAGTTCATGCATTACTGACATCATTTCGGTACTGTTCTCTGTACCAAACTTGCTGTACATGCTCACTAACCTTGCAATATGAAAAAATTTAATAATTAACTTGAAAAATAACCAAAAATAAGCTAAAATTGTTGTGTGCCCTACGGCTAAATAAATGGGCTTCTTTTAAAAACACGCCAAGCGCTGGGCTTGTTATCCGAGAGGTAAAACCGGTTTTCAGTCCTAAAAAAGCCTTACATTAGCGAACCACCACACACCTTTTACGCCGGTTTTAAAGCCACCTTTAATATCAATAAGCACAAATTTTGGCTAAGCACAACTTTAGATGCTCGCAGTCAGACGCACCTACTGTTTAGCAGACGCTGCTTCAGTGAGCGCTTAAACCGAAAGTGCCAGAGTAGTTCCGCTGAAGTTCCCTCTTTTTCTTCCGTGACCCAAGGCCACACATGACTTAGTTACCGCTGCAGTGCCCTGGAGTCCCTTGTCCAGAGCGAGCGAACGGCGACGAAAGAGTCGCAATCTGATAGGTTTGTCTAGCGATGAACGAATACAAAAAAAGTACCTCCTGGCAACCGCAAAAAATATTAGGGTATTAGACCAAACGCCTCTGATGGCAGTTAGTTTTAATTGCACAACAGAGCTCTCTCTCGACGATGAAAATCACGCTCAAACATCTCTTACCAGGTTCACAGATAAAAAGCTTTGGAGCATTCGAGAAAATTATGCTTCGCCATATCTATCAGGTATCCACGCTATTGTATTGAAAAGGATGGAATGACGAACTGTACCCAGCAAACATTTGGAGTCATAAATGAGTCTTTAAGGAGTCCTCTTTCGGAGCTATTACGCTCATAATGATCTCATTTAAGAGTCCGATATGAGTGTGTTTCCCTTCCTACGAATGTCGACTTATATGAGCTTAAATTCATACATCAAATGAGCCTCAATATGAGTCATATTGGACTCTTATTGGCCTCATATACGGCTCATTTTGGACTCTTTTAAAACAAGTTTTGGCCTCATATATGACTCTTTTTGAGACCCTTATCGGCCTCATATATTGCTACATTCGGACTCTTATTTTAGGTTGCTCTTTGAGTCTTATTCAACTCACTATATTTGCAAAGGCATTCCGCAAAAAGTCCTTGCAAATAACATACATACATACTTACATGCATATACACATTCCAACATGCATTCAATAGCAGCAGCTGAAGCTAAATTTTGTTAATTTTTTGTTTTCTAATTATTTTCAATTTCTGTATAAACAAGTTTAGATATAAATTTCAAATCTTTATTGTTTTTATATTGGCACAAGGTGCTGGCTCATAACTTGGCTCATATATGAATCCTAAAAGATTCATATAAGAGTAAACAATTTTTTGTTTTTGAAACTCATATTTCTTACCTACCTAGAACACCTTTCGGACTCATATATTCTGAACGCTCAGAATATGTTTGCGGGGTAAGAACTTTTCAATGACATGGACACAGTTATATAGAAATTCAAAGATTGCGCTTCATTGGACATATTATACGCATGGATGGTGGGGATTTGATGAAAAATCCTTCGATTCGGCATCCATGGCTGATACAAGAATACATGTAAAGTTGACTACGTACATAGATAAAGAAAAGGATAAAGGCAAAGGTAAAAATAAAAACAAAGATGCGTAAAGATAAGGCAAAAATGAAATGAAAAGAGAAGAGAAATATGTAGATGAAGAAAATGATAAACATAAAAGTAAAGCCAAAGAGGAGGTGAGGATACCTATAAAAGTAAAGATGAAGATAGGGGAAAAGAGATTAAAATAAAGGTAATTAAAGAGAAGGGATATAGAGAGAGACACAGAGACTCAATCTGGGAACTATTTCGGGATTTTAGAGATTTTCGGAATTCTCGGGTCTTATCGATAAAATAATCGATATTTTTATCGGTTTTGTTAGCATGTTACAGTTTTCTTCCATATAAAAATAAATTGTGAGTATTCGTTATGTGGAAGCAAATGGGACAAAAGAAATACTAAAAAACTAACCGTAATTTTTAGCCATTTGAAACTTGCACTGTATTCTGCTGGAATTCAATGGGCTACAAAACTGCATACTCAGAATCCTTCCATGAAATCTAATTAAAAAGTTAGAAATTTTTACGATAGTTTGTTAATTTTTTTTTAATTATTACACAAAGTTTGAAACTTGGATTTACACGGATTTTGTTAAAGAATGAACTATATTTTTATAATTAACAAAAAAAAATATGTTAAAACTTGCCCAAATGTGTTGCGGCTATAATTGTTTCGACCACTCTATCTTAGATATTTTTAGACCTTACATATGAAGTGGGTGGTGGGTCGCAAATCCAGCACAAACTGGGAGGCTATACAGCAGGTGCATATATACATACATACTTGTACATTCCCAACAAAATTAAAACCAAAGTAAAAAGAAACCAGCCACTTAAAAACTCTAAGCCCATTAAACGGCTAAAATGCCAGCTGTGCAAAGTTATTGACGCTTTGTTAAATTGTAATTCGCAATGAAAACTACAGTTGCGCAATTGTCAACATTGCATAAATACCAAGCAGGCTGTTCTTATACTTGCTTTTCCTGCATTAGAGCCTATAAGATCTCAGCTTAAAAGATTCTGAATACATACAGGCTTTTTCCATTGAATTATCGTTTGTGCCACAATTCTATCAAACCATAATTATAAGAATGAATACGATCAACACCAACAACTTCTGTCGAACTGTTTTCGTGTTGTTGAATTGACCGTAAAAAGAAACTTGTCGCTGCAAAAATAGCAGCTACGGTCATAAGAACAACAAAAGCAACATTTTATGAGCCCAAAAGCAGCAAAGTGGTGACATAAATTATTGAATGCATGTGGTTGTAGTAAATTCCCAGTGAACAATAGTGTTATGTTTAATTTTTGAAAAAATATCGGTTGTAAAAGTAAAGCAGGCATCACACATTTATACGGATTTGCACATTTTAAAAGTTACGGAGTGGATTTTTTTATTGAGCTGAACTCATTCTCGATTCAATTTTGTATATCACACCAATCTGTGACTGCCAAAATGTACAAACAGGTAGGTACAAATGCACAAATCGTGTGATCCCTGCTCCTGTCAATAGAGGTCACCATCACCACAATCTACATCAAAGCGAAATTCTTCAACATCCCATGTATTTTCGCCTACGCCCCGACGAAAGAAGGGCGCGACGACCAAGACTAAAATTAAAGTGTGCTCTATCCAATACGCAAGAAAAGAGACCAAGTCATATGCGACAACAACCCGCGGTCAGCCCTCCAGCATCGACTATAAAGTCTTATAGAGCCTATTGTGAGAAAAATTGAAGCCCACTGTCAATGTATAGATAGGGTCTTATCAGTGTGGTTTTAGACCTGGTAAATCCCCCTTAGACCAGGTATTCACCGCATGCCGAATATCCGAAGGCCCGCAAAAGAAGATCGACACGCATCATCTATTGGTCGATTTCAAAGCCGCTGTCGGCAGCTGTTGCCTTTATGCCGCAATGTCTGAATTTGGTATCCCCACGAAAATAATAAGGCTGTGTATAATTACCATGAGCAATAACACCAGCTTCGTTTTATACCAAACGAGGTTTCATTCAGGGTGGCTCTCTTTCATATAATTTCTTTAACCTGATGTAGGAGAAGATGATAAAAACTGCGGAACAGAGATAAAGCTTCTGCATAAGATTCACGAGCCTCTGCACGCTGGCGATGGTGAATACCTTAGCTTTACAATGATACAGATATAGTTGCTTGGTCATGCCGTACAAATGGACACAAACGCTCTAGCTCTGAAAGTATTGAACGCGGTTCGCGATGCTGGAAGAGGAAAACCTCCTCTACGTTGGAAAGACCAGGTGGAGAAGAACTTAACTTCACTTGGCCTATTTGTCGAAACGTCAGATAACGGACTGAGGTTGATTGACTACGCTGGGGTCCGACACATGTTAATATGTTGAACAAAATATGTCGCCTACAGGAACAAGCTGCGGTCGGGCGCCACGTAAGCTAAAATGACCGATAAAGGGAGCTGAAGAGGGAAGCGAGACGTATTCTTCATAATGGAAAGACCAGGTGGAACGGCATTTGGCTTCACTTGGCAACTCCAATTGGCTTCGGTGGACACAGAAAAGCAATGACTTACCCGCTTTATTGGACTTTTAAACTGTTCATTTATGTCTACACTTAACCAAATCATAATTCTCGTCTAAATGCTCACTGGGTTCAAATCACACAGAACAGAATATTAAATACTAAACACTTAAGCAATAACAACAACGCCCACAAGCAGTACAACTACTAACAAAACTAACAATCTCTGCCTTAACTTGGCAGCATCAACAAGTATCAGCTGCTGCAACTAAACGACCGAGTCATTACCTTCAATCGATTCTCAATGCGCGGCAACATTTCAGTTGAGATCTTAATTCTAGCGTAGACGGTCGGTTTTGTTGTGATTTAAGCCAAGATGCTCAATGGAAAATTTTACATGGGTCTGCCACCCGGTATGATTGAACGGGGCAGTACACAACGTAATCGCCTGCAATCAAGTATTTTCTGGCCCGATGACACCAAAGTCGATTCAGCGTTGGAAACGCGCGTCAAGCGACGTAATAGCTTACAAATTGCTCAGAACGAACGGCCACAGCTGCGTATGCAATCATCGGTGAGCGGCAACAGCGGTGACAGTACAAGGCAGTTATTTCAGAAGGAATTCTCAAAATCGTCTATCGAATTTTTGGATAATTTATGCGATGAAAGTAAGACTAGGAAGCCATTGCTCTTGAGGGGCAACAGGAGCGCTGGTAGCGATGTGACTCCCAAACCTACAGCAATGAAGTTGCCACTGCCCGAGAATGTGGTGAATGCGGGATACACCACCGCCAAGAAGAAACAGGCTTTCACATCGAAAATCGAGTTCTATGATTATATGGGCGATGAGTTAAATAATCGGAACAATTTCCGACGCACAAAAATGGATATGAATGATAAGAAGGAGATGGAACGAAATACGAAAAACAGTCCAAAATTGCAAGTGAAAAACAATATGCGTAGTTTGGCTACAAATGAAAAATTGTATCCTGCAGAAAGACGCGAAAAAGTTGAGGTAGCGGGATTGGAGGAGAGCGCAAGGCATGTAGATGATGTCGAGGTAGTGCTCAAAAATAATATTCGTGACGAATTGCAAAATAGAGGAGAGGACCGATATGCGGGCGAAAGGGCTTTCGATGATGAGTTCGAAGATGGTCGTGGAGATTTGACTGGCTATCAGAAAAATATGCGGGAACGTGGTAATCTCCTCAAAGACGAAAACTTACGTGAAATCGACTACTTGGAAAACAGAAGAACTGTAAGCCCAGAGTATGGCTATAGACGCGAGCGTCGATTTCGTGAGACATACGAAGATGACTACGATGTATCAGATTACGCACCTGTTCCAAGGTATGGTGCTGCTGTTCGACGCTCTAATAGTGTAGGCCGTTTTACAGGTCCCCCTAAGCGTATATTAAGGAATCCCATAAGGGAGCGACGCTATTGCGATAATTATGGCAGTGACGCTTATAGAAACAATGAAGCCAATCTTGGCAATAGACGTTACATGAATAGGAATAACGAGGTGGACGACAACAGAGACTACAATGATTGCGACGCCGATTTAGATTTCATGGAAGGCCGCATAAAGAATATGCGCATTCGCACATCACCCAAGAAGCATGTCACCTACAGCGATGACACCTACTCGCACGACGAAGAAACTCCAAGTCCATCGCTGCGACGACCTTTGGCGGCAACTCCACAGTCGCGAGCTCGTCCAAATATGCGCACCGGAAGCGATCAGCAACGCCAACTACCACTACAGCCACAGCAACAACAACAACACGATTTACGACGTTACAATAGTGAAATAGATTTCGCGGAGGATGCTAATGAGGCGTCGGAGCAAAAAATTATGGAAAATGACATACGCGGTAGTGCAACAACAATAAAGCCATTAAATACAGGTAGTAGCTACAATAACAAGTGCAATAATAGCCGAGATGTTGGAAATGAAGAGCGCAAAAGTTTTGTCAATAAAATAAATAACAACAAAAACAATAATTTTAATAACACAACAAGTCGACTTAACAATCAAACTATCGCGTCAGCTGCACGGAAAATCACACCAAAAATAACAACAACTACCGCTACAACAAAGCAAAACGCCGACACAGCGACCAACGAGCAAGCAGAAGCTGGTGGTGGTGTGAAAAAGCATTTGCGCAGCAGCCTCTGTCTTCACAATGGCGAGATCGTAGCGAGCGATGACGGTGGAGCGACGTCCGCAAAAGCACCCACGCGCAATGCGCGCACCATAGCTACACGCCAGCGCATTAGTGTGGGACTGCCAGATTAATGATTTGAACAGGCTGCAGCGCTGACGTTGAGTGACGGCTGGGCTGCGGCTGCGCAGTTGTAGTGTAGAGTTACGATCGTGCTGACTTAAGAGCTGAGTGTTGCGGGCATTTTTAATGGTCTAATATGAAGTTGGATTCCCCTAAGGCGCGCGCCCGCTATTACATCGATCATTTATAGTATGAGACATGCAGTCGTTAAATTTTGTTATAACTTAACATGTATCCGAATTTAAGTGAAAAATTAACAAAGTGACTTTGAGTATTGCACATGCTAATTTTTTTTTTCAAATTCAAGTGTTTAAATATGTACTTTTATGTTCATATGTGTATGCATGTTTATTTTAGTACACATGGACATTTGGGTGGTCCAAAAAAAGTAGATAAAGTGTAATTTTAATACACTCGCCCCATAGGATTATCCTATGTTTACCGAAAAAATATATACGTTAGTATTTTGAAATAAAATGTTTACCGTGTATTTTATATGAAAAAAATAAAAATTTAGTAGAAATGCTATAGGATTCTCGGAATTCAATGTTTTTCGATCAGAAATCTCTGCTCTTCTTCAAGAGACTTCCAATAACAATGCCCAATTGTTTATTTAACCATTTTTTAATACTAACTATTTTTATAGGTCACCCATAAAACAAAACAAAAAAATGCAATGGGAAACCCCTAAAATACATTAAAAATTGGAAAAATAAACAATTCTGCGGAAGAGAAACTGAGTTTTCCTATCGAAAAATGTTGATTTTGTAGAATTCTATATAATTTTTAAGAAAAAATGTCTTCCCTATACAATATATGTACATGGAAAACTTTGAGCGCTTTGAGCGAGTTCTAAATATCTTTTCATTTTGAAATAAAAAACAGTGGTTAATTTTTTCGATATAGAAAAATCCTACTGGGTGAGAGCATTAAAATTCGGACTTTGGTTTTTCATATGTATTTTTAGACTACCCTAATGTACATACATGCCAGTATAAGTAGATACTTTTTTGTCTGTTCACAAATTTATACAAGTTTATCGCTGTGGGTTCTAAAGTATTTTTGAAGCATTTTTATGGAGGTGTGCGCTTTTTTAAACTTGAAATGTGTACATACTGCAGTACATATACATATGCACAAACTTATGTAAATATGTTTGCAAGTAATCCGACCTACACACCTTGAAGAACACTTGTTTGTCAACAAATACATCATGCATATTTTGTAATGTTTTAAATTGTGTATGGAATTGTATCAATACTAAATAATGTGGCCAGAAGCAAGAAGAAGATTAAATACTCCTTATATAATTACTCAAAAATAACACTATGTGACAGTAAAGATGTACTTTTCGTGACAAATAAATATAGTTGATGTAGGTATATGAAGAAACTAGATATGACATCTTGAAGCGCCAAATTTAGTTGAAATGTGGCACATTGATCATGTACTGGAGTATAATTTTGATCCCAAAATTTTTATATTGATTTAATTGTATATTTGAAAATAATAAGCGATTTTTTTGGTAGCACCGCAGCGAAATAATTTATTAACGTACTTTGGCAAGTATCCAAATCACAAATCATCTCTTTTAGCATTCTTAATAATAGGTTTGATACCGTATTCCTCAGACTAAATCTAGTAAAACTGTAAAAAAATAAAAATTCGCTCAAAACGAGAGAGTAACACTGAAAAGAACTTGATCGCTTTCTAATAAAAAATGATGACTTCTGACAACTTCAACATAAGCTCCAAATTTTGTTTCTTTTGTAAGTAAATACTCTTAGCTCACACATGTAACTAACCAAAAATTCTTACAAATTCATTCAATCCACTCAAACAAGGAATTTAGCAAAGTGCACTTTTCTTTTGTTTATAGTTTGGTTGCCAAACACACTACAGCTGCTCCTTTGACACATTTGGCATAATTTACCACAACCAATCTTCGGACTAAATCTGGAAACTTCTAACAAATAGAGAACCTTATTTACTCTCTTACTTGTCCACTCAATTGCCAGAGAACCGAGTACGGGACCGATTTGCAGCGACAGCCACAGAACGCTGCGGCTGAGTGGTTACCCATTAAACATATTTGTTAAATCTCAATTTCAGAATCAATCCTTTTCTCAAATGTCAAACGTTAGTTGTAAAATGCATCTAAAATAACCGTCGATAGCGTTCTCTAACTAAAAGGCAAATTTTTAATATATAACTTTCCTGTACTTTCTAATTGAGAAATATTGAATTCTCAACTTTTTCTCAAACGTCAGTGGAGCGGAACGAAATGGAAGCCGGTTACACTCATTGAAATATTTGTATAGTGTTGTGTATGATGCATGTAAAAGAAACACAGTTTTTATAGGAAAGGAATTTTTATTTATGCAGTTTAACAGTTTATTTTATAACTTACTTATTTAGGTAGCTGAATAAAGAAAAATACGGTTGATATAAAAAATTAGTTAAATACAGTTCGTTTTGCAAAAAATACGTAAATACAGTTAGCGAAGTAATTTTTTGCGAAAAATACGACAAAATGAAATTTTTAAGTATAATTAATGTTTTGTGCTCTAATGAATTCTTAAAAAATGTATTTATGTATTTATGTATTTGTATGTCATTAAATGTATTTGGAAAACAACTTTTTTTTAATCAAATTTTGGGATTTACCGCGATTTTTCACCAAAAAACCTTTAAAGATTGTTTTATCTTTTATCTTTTATCTTACTTAATAATCTATTTATTAAAAATAAATAATTTTGTTTTTAACAAAAAATATTTTTTCGTTTTAATCAAGCAAACTATTGGTCACTATCGATGCAGCGGAATGTTTCTCTCTTTCGTTTTTATATTTAAATGGCCAGTGAGTAGACAATGTTGGCAGATCAGTCTCCAACAGATAATTCACAAAATGATTTTACCAACTCTAATTTACTCGGACGAGGATCCATTTTGAGGCAGACAAATTGCGAAATAACCGCGACGAGGAGCCGTTTTGCGACTTATGTAGCATACTATCATTTGACGTAGATGGAACGGAACGTAATGCTAATAAAATTTGTCTTAAATGTTTCTCAAACCGTTCTTAAGTTGATGAACAATGTTTGAGAACAATTAGGGAAAATGTTTAGTTTCAAATGGTAAACAATGCTGCAAATCAAATTGAGAAATAAGACTTTCTTAAACTTTTGAAAATTTTTGTTCCAGTGTTTGTTGGGTAGAGATGCGTACTGCCACCCCGCAGCACCTGGGTTCTGTACCTGGTCTGAGCATCATTTAAATTAGCAAAAGTATTTCTTGTATTGCCAATAAAAAGCTCGCATAATATCCAACGTAGGTTCCTCCATCAATAGGCACGCCACTACCCTGCAAAAATCGTTGGACCATGTAGTCTATGTGTGGTATATTGGAGTACTTACAAAAGTGTCATGCTGTAGCGGACCAACTCGTGTCTCTGCAGCAGCTTATTGTTACCCGATCACTGCTCGTGTTTTAACGAAATGTGATTTAAGTTGCCTTTATGCCGCGATGTCTGAATTTGGTATCCCCGCGAAACTAATACGGCTGTGTAAAATGACGTTGAGCAATACCACCAGCTCCGTCAGAATAGGGAAGGACCTCTCCGAGCCAAACGAGGTTTCAGACAAGGGGACCCCCTTTCGTGTGATTTCTTTAATCTTATGTTGGAGAAGATAATAAGAGCCGCAGAACTGAACCGCTCAGGCACAATACTTTATAAGAGCGTACAATTGCTGGCGTATGCCGACGACATCGATATTATCGGTAAAAACAAGGGCTACGTCTGTTCTGCCTTCTCGGGATTGGATAGAGAAGCAAAGCGAATGGGTCTGGTGGTGAACGAGGACAAAACGAAGTATCTCCTGTCAGCACACAAACAGTCAGAGCATACGCGTCTTGGCACCCACGTCACTGTTGACAGTTACAAGTTTGAAAAAGTAGACGACTTCGTTTATTTGGGAACCAGCATTAACACCAATAATAATGTCAGCCTTGAAATCCAACGGAGAATCACTCTTGCCAACAAGTGCTACTTTGGGCTGAGTATGCAATTGAGAAGTAAAGTCCTCTCTCGTCGTAAAAAAGATCACACTCTATAAGTCACTCATCATGCCTGTGCTGGTGTAGGGCGCGGAAGCATGGACAATGAAAGCATCTGATGAGGCGGCTCTTGGAGTTTTCGAGAGAAAGATTCTGCGAAAGATTTACGGACCTTTACGCGTTGGTGATGGCGAATATCGCAGACGATTTAACGATGAGCTGTATGAGCTTTACAACGATATAGACATAGTGCAGCGAATTAAAATTCAGCGGCTCCGCTGGCTTGGCCATGTCGTTCGGATGGACAGAAACGCTCCTGCTCTGAAAATATTCAACGCGGGCCGCGATGCTGGTAACAGAGGAAGAGGAAGGCCTCCTCTGCGTTGGAAAGACCAGGTGGAGAAAACTTGGCTTCACTTGGCATTTTCAATTGGCGTCAGTTAACACAGAAGAGAAATGACTGGCGTGCTGTTTTGGACTCGGCCAAAATCGCTTAGGCGGTTACAGCGCCAAATAAGAAGAAGAAGAAGATTTAAGTTGAGCATTTGAAAGCACATTTGCATGTCTGGCTGCAGCTGAATGTGTAGAGATGCTCGCTGTTAGTTGTTAGCTCCCAGCATGTTCGGATTCGAATGCCGTCAGAGGCAACATGTAATTTTAATTTTTTGTTTTTGGTTTTTATTAATTTCGAAAAAGCATCTGTGAAGTGAAGAACAAAAGCGTGTACAAACGAAAAAAATGTAACAACAATGCCATTGTTAATATGTTTGAGTAGTTTTGTACTACTATGATGTAATGCAGAGGTGGACTATATGGTCCTGCCCTAGGACATCGCAATGTTAATTGGACCATATTTTTTATATCCTTAGGTCCTTAGGGAGTACTCTTTACATGCATGCATGGAGTAGTGGCACTCTTGGTAATTGCAAGAGAAGCTCGGCTAAGCAGTTAGCAAAAGTGTAAGCGCCAAATTGTTATTATTATTATTAAGGACTCTTTTTTGCTTTCTCAGATTTCATAAATTTTTGTTCCAAAGTACCGGACAACACGAAAATATATACGAATCTTTGTCTCTTAATTATGAAAATTTACTTATTGCAGAGACGCCTTTAAATGAATGAAATTTAGTAGTAGTTTATAATCAAGGACCTTAATTTTTATACCCGAGCGCACTTGTGCACAAGGGTATTATAACTTTGTTCACATAACGGTTGTTTGTAACAG